GTTGATAAAAAATGTCAAGAGTCAACTTGTTCTGGAAATCGAACATTTGTATTTTTTCTATGCTCCTATGTGCGGGACTATAACTCGCAGTAACACTTAATCCAAACAGGTGCGTTCCTTTTTGAAGGTGAGTGCAATAATGTGTAGTTCTCTGTGCGTTAAGCACATATTTATCATCTAGTGCATGTAAGGGTCGCCCCGCCGCCCGCACCGTCCGTTGATCGTCGATCGCCATACAGTGTTCCTAAAACGCATTCCTCCTCAAAAACAGAAATGCTGCGAAGAAGTTTTCCCCCCTTCTCTCTACTAGTCCTTGTTATAAAAAACAGCGAATCAGGGCGAGAGCTAAGCGTCGCACAACCCGGCGCCAGTGGTTTCCAGCCCTGCGTTGGACATCCGACCTCACCTGTGCTCGACACGCGGCCGCTCCAGTGTTGCACGTGCGCCATCCTAGTGCCGAACAGGCATCTGCTCCAGTGCTGGACACATGACCGGAGGGGTCATGATGTGCCGGACTGGCCTCTCATGTGCCGGCATGCTGCCAGCCCAGTGCCGAGCAGGCATCTGCTCCAGTGCTGGACACATGACCGGAGGGGTCACGATGTGCCGGACCGGCCTGACATGTGCCGGCATACGGCCAGCCCAGTGCCGAACAGGCATCTGCTCCAGTGCTGGACACATGACCGGAGGGATCACGATGTGCCGGACCGGCCTGACATGTGCCGGCATGCTGCCAGCCCAGTGCCGAGCAGGCATCAGGTGTGTCCAGTGCTGGACACATGACCGGAGAGGTCATGATGTGCCGGACCGGCCTGACATGTGCCGGCATACGGCCAGCCCAGTGCCGGACAGGCATCTACTCCAGTGCTGGACACATGACCGGAGAGGTCGTGATGTGCCGGACTGGCCTCTCATGTGCCGGCATGCTGCCAGCCCAGTGCCGAGCAGGCATCTGCTCCAGTGCTGGACACATGACCGGAGAGGTCATGATGTGCCGGACCGGCCTGACATGTGCCGGCATACGGCCAGCCCAGTGCCGAGCAGGCATCTACTCCAGTGCTGGACACATGACCGGAGAGGTCATGATGTGCCGGACCGGCCTGACATGTGCCGGCATGCGGCCAGCCCAGTGCCGGACACGCGGCCTCTCCTGGGTCTGACGGCCACCAAATTGGACATAGCTGTAGACAATTGAATAGCGGATCGTTTGGCATAACAAATTTAGATGTACCTTGTAAGGACGCTGACCTATGGGAGGTCAAAGTCGGGCCATGGTTTCAGCTGAGTCAATTTCTAGAGAGTCGTTCATTCTGATGCAACAACGGAGAGTTAGACGAAGCCACACATCTCTGAAAGGCTTTTTTAGGTAGCAAAAATATTGAATGAGCAAATACGTTGACCCAAGATCAGGCATAAAGGTCAGACCAACGTCAAAACCAACCTGTTTTATTCTCTAGGACTTGCTGTAAGGGATAGTTTCTGGTGCTCATTTCGAATTTATTGACAGTATTATGCATTATGCACCTTCCATGGACTTTTTTGAGGTTAGAACAGGTCATTGACCTGAAATGACCCAGGTAAACCTTTTTGTTTTTCGAAACATCTTGTCTAGCGATATCTTTGTCGCTTATTCAAGTGCAAAACTCAGAGCAGTATTGTATGATTTTGGTAAGCGTGACCTCCAAAAGGTCAAACAAGGTCGCTGACCTTAAATGGGCATGTGACCTTTTGCTTAGAAACAGTTATCTAGGTTCTGGGGGCACTTTGGAGACCAACCTGACATTTGACCTTGCTTGACCTTATTTGACCCGAAAATCATGACCTAGGAACCTCGAAATTTAACCTAAGTGAGTTCACGTACAGGTTAACACACTCCGTGAATATGGTGTTTCTGGCTGTCTTAGTTCCCGAGATCTCAGGGGGGGGGGGGGGCAAATTGACCTCCCACGCGAGCGAAGGGTATGCAGCCCTCAACCCGGGCGAGTGTTAAGTTGCAGACAATTATAATGCCATAATGCGAGTTTATGGAGCAAGCGTTTCATTCCTTGCCATACTTTTATAAGTTTGTGGTGTATGGACCTTAGGTCCTAGGTCCACATCTGAAAAATATGATGTGCCGGACATGAATGTACCCACAACAGGGTGGCATAGAACTGCTGTGTCCGTTATGACATGCACGCCGCCCAAATGCTTCCTTAAGAAGCGGCTGTTTTGGTCCGTGAGCGACGCTTAAATCAGAATAGTTACTATACACTGAACATGGTCGTCACATAAAGAAATAGTCGCAGCGCCCGAATTCCAAAGCAATCAACCGATCTCGCTAAGTACGGCTCGTCACGTGAACATTAACCTGCCATCCATGGTACCCAGGCCATGAAAAAACTTATCCATTGTTGGATTTGTTTTGTTTTTTATTGAGGGCAGAAAGTTTCCCAGGCGTGAATTATACATGCTAGAAATCTCAATATCGGGCATTATGAAAAGCTATGGAGTTTCATTTCCGACACTGCAGTTGTAGACATAGGCCAAAGCCGTGTTCTGAAACACACAGTAACGTACTTAAATTGACTTACGCGACTACTCAGCTTAAGGTAGCGCAGTTTGTAACGCCAAATAGGGTGTCCAACTGATAGCAAAGAGGTGAAGAAGACTTTTGATCGGTGGTTTAAACCATGTCAGGGTTCTCTCTCCAACACTGGCATTGCCCCGGTATGTCGTGACATAGTGCATGGAGTTTGTTATGTGTCATCTATAGTTATGATGCGGCCGCTGAACAAACATGTTCCTGCATTTCTCCGCGCATGCGAAGGCTTAGGTGTTAACCTGGCTGACGTACTCACCAACCTTAAGCCCGCTGCGCCGGCCACTCATGCACTAAGACGTACGCATTAACCGCCGGAGCTTTTGACATGGTCAGAAAATGATGCGTTGCCAAGCAACTAAACCTTACGAAATGAAAAGATTAATTATGTTTATAACTCACTGCACTTTGTTTTTCTCTGTTCTGTGTGGTTTGTCGCTTTTATAGTGTTAGTGCGATGGTCTCTGATAGATTTGCCTCCAAGTGACAAGTAAGGCTGTTTCCAAATTTCGTCGGCAACGGAAAAGACACTTTCCCACCACTGGCTGCACCGTGAGTGTTATTTTCATAAACACCCTGCACGCAACAGCAAAATATACTCGCTGCCGTTTAATTAAGCACTGAGACCAGCGCCTTAATGGCTCGTGTGCCGGTCGTACAATAAAGGAGTGCTGTAGCAGCCTCTGCAGCCTAATCTGAGGACGCACTGGCGGCATCGATCGCAGTATCGCACAGGGGCTAAAGTGCGCGAGTGAGGGTACTAGATCACACAAAATGGATGTATTCCTGTCAGCATCACGATAAAGTTCAAATACGCAGCTCATTTTCACCTGCCGGTCCAGCGTCAGCCCTCTATCGGTGACGGTTGAAGTCGGTACTGTGGTGATGTTTCTCACATGTTGACATTATTCACCCAGCATTGACCGGGGAGGAGGAGGGGTCAAATCTGCCCCCTGTCCAATGTTTGCGATAATTCAATGAATGCATTGAGGTATTGCTGCAAAATTGGCGGTGAATAATAAGTTCTTTGCCGTATTGTGAAAAACAACTACGAGCCCATAATAGGTCAAGCGTAAGTGACGTCATAGCGGCGTCTTGTTCGCCAACTTTGGACAGAAGCGCATAGCCGCAGGCAAATTGACACAGAAGCCAAAAGAAAGGAGACATTTTAAACACGAAAACTGCAAATGTAGGCCACTTATTTTGTCATTCATATGCCTTGTCGTTGTGTTGTTTCCATATTGCACTTTGAAGCATTGGGATATCAAATAACACAAATAACATTGACAAAAGTACATTCCACATTTCTTATCCTCAGGCTCAGAATTATGAAGATAAAACAGATGTCCTAGATACGACTATGACGGATGCCTGTACCAAGTTTCAAGCAATGATCCGTAACAATAACTGAGTTATGGCTTATATAGTAACCATGACTGACCTACATCAGCTTTACACGCAAACCGACGACTACGTGAGGCTAGTGGCGGGGTTGAAGGGCACCAGGCTACGCGACTGAGTTATGGCTTATATAGTAACCATGACTGACCTACATCAGCCTCACACGCAAGCCGACGACCACGTGAGGCTGGTGGCGGGGTTGAAGGGCATCAGGCTACGCTATCGGCAGGGTTAAACCGTCGAAAACAACGCAAAAATCGGTCCAACCGCTTATTCGACGCCGAGGTGATCCATTTGACCCTGATCTGAGAGAGTTCATAAACAAGTAACAGCCTTGCCCACTTTCATGATATCCAAAATTGCGGCTAAGCTCTGCCACTTCGCGTTTAGATGGTTCAGACACGTCAGAAAAAATGGACAAAAATTGGCACATAGACCAAGGTTTCAGTGCTCATTTGCACGGCACGTGACCTTGATTACAGACCTAGTACGGCGCACGCAGCCTAGAACGTCTTCCTTTTCAGCACGTTTGATCAGGGCGCTGTGATTTCACACCACAAGATACGTTTCTAAATGAAGTACGTTGTGGGGTCGGTCAGATGTTCCAAAGTATCATTCTAATATCTTTTCTTGACCTGTGACCTTAATGCGCACCTAAACCTAAGTTTGTTGTGTGGCCTGAGACTGCATACCACGGCACTTTCATTGCAATTTGAATTTCTGAATTCGGCCCAGCCGTTTTTGAGATCAGTGGGGGGTCAAATCTGCCCCCGTCCGGTCAATGGTGCGCCGTTGAGGAGTCCGGTTGATGTCGGGTTAAGTTCTGCGTAATGCCGATACGGGCTGTTCGACACCGTTGCTGAAGTATAATTAATAGAAAACGAGAACGTTTGCTGCACACACAACAGAAACCACGGCTTAACGGAAGCAGGCCGTGCGTTATGAGTGCAAGATGTCGAGGCGTCGGCGTGTCCGTTTGGTGTCCGTCCTCGGCATCGCGCCTGTCCGACGCCCCCAGCCGGACGCCAAGATGGTGATGGACGTCATCTCCCGGATGGAGGACACGGAGCCGTTCAGTGACGAGCTGCTGGCGGCCATGAACCGGCTCTGGCTGGACGGCGGCGTGCAGGAGTGCTTCGGCAGGTCCAACGAGTACCAGCTGAACGACTCAGCCAAATAGTGAGAGCAGACGGCATGCCTGCGGCGTCTAGGCTGCATGTGCTCACCAAAGCATATCCTTGTTGTGTGCGTGTGTGTTTTTTGTGTTAATTCGACGCAATCCCCCATTAATAGTTGAACAGGGGTACCTCCCCGTGACGTTGCATCAGTTTGGTTACAGAATGGTTTGGCTTAGCGTCACACAATCTGTGATGCGCATCCGCGGTGCAAACGGTGCCCGCAGTGCTTCCGTGGTAAAAACGATGCCCGAGCTGGTCTCTCAACTGTCATGTCAGTTACGATCAGCTATCCCTGAACTCTGCAATATGGGGCTGTGATGGAAGACTTCACCGAATCACGTTACCGGGCGGCGTGTGTCACGAGCTCCGACCCATGTCTGAGGAGCAGGTATGATGTGGACGCTGGACGTTGGCCCGTCGAGTGGCGTGCCCGTACCGACTGACGTCACGGGACTGGTGTCATACTCGAGCTCGGCCACTGACGCGACCTTCAGCTTGGACATACTTTGGCAGCGACCACCACAATGTTGATAGATAGGTAATGTTGATAGATCCCTTTCGGGGCCGTGCAACCCATCATCCTATACACGACCGATGTGGTCACTGCACTGTGTTGTTTCCTGCTCACTGCACTGTGTCCGTTGTTTCCAGTTTCCTGGATGACCTGGCGCGCCTGGGAGCCAAGGACTACCAGCCAACTGTGCAAGACATCCTGCGAACCCGGGTCAAAACGACTGGCATCGTCGAAGTACACTTCTCCTTCAAAAACCTCAACTTTAAGTACGTAGTAAAGCAGGGCCACGGCAGACTTCTTTTCCTTCACCACTTGAGTAACGTACTCTCGCAGGCGCCGTCTGCCTTGTCCATGAGGTCTGCTCTCTTGCACGATTCCTCTCACTGCGCACCTGCAAAGCTCATACCACTTCAAAGCTCAACACTGGTCCCTTGAGGCGGAGGAGGCACAATGTGGGTCGCACGCGGTCATACGAAATTTCAGGCTTGCTTGATTGGGCAGCCGCCTTCATCTTACGTAACCGGCCAGCCTCCCGTAGATCCCCCTCCAGCGAGACTCGAGACCGGGCCAGACAACGCCCGGCGGGCCGTGTCCTTCGCTAGCCCGCGGCGGCGATGAGCCGTGTTTTTTCTCTCCCGGAGGACGGACAGCGTGCGGTCGTTACGGCCCGGGCTAATGGAAGACCGGACCGCCGAGTCCCTGGCGGTGCTGGGCGGGCGTCCGCCTTCCGGGACTGTGGACCATCCGGCCGTTTTCGGTCGGGGCTGGTCCGGCGTGACCATGGACCATCGCGTGACGCTGTTATGTCCTGGGTACGAAAGCCACGAGCCACCCGCTGGAATTCGGCTGGGACGGTGTCAGGGACCCATGGCTGCCCACATTCCGTCGGCGGTGCTCCTTCCACTGCGGCCTGGCGGGGAATGCAAATGCACCATGCTGCGTAAGTTTATTGGCGCTGAGCTGCGAGCCGCCCCTAATCGCGGCGCTCCATGAAAATACATTGGGCCCAGTGTTCGGATGTGGGAAAACACGCGGTCTTTATTCCAGCACATTCGTATTGCGTAGCAGCCTGGGGGTGTCTTGGCCCTGTGTTTTTGTACTGTGATTAGTGGGACTATTTTAGTGATCAAAGTCTCAAATGTTGTTGCAAGGCACCGCCTGACCTTGAAAGAGTTTCGCAAGTGACGGGGAAAACGCCATCGGGAGATAATTATCAGGAAATTTTGCTTTAATGCATCTTCAAGTTTCCGTTCATAATTTCCCGATCACGACTCTGCATTGAAATGTGTGGAGTCGTTACTGGTTATCGCGAATCGGTACTTTTTGCCGTGGAAGAAATGACAAGAAATGCGTGTGGGTAGTAACACACGCGGCATTCCATCAGCAGTATACATTTCCAAGTAGTATAGCCCTTCCCCGTTGTTTGCATCCATCAGGCAACGGATCGACCCACTTCTTGCACCCAGGCGTCCCCCCCCCCCCCCCCGTCTCTCCTCGTTATCAGCGCGCTCCCACTACTGGCACCATTACCGCTGTAGCTCTTACAAAGACGAAAACGATCGGGTAATCTGGCAGTCCCGCACCGCGCATCCGAGGGAACTCCCGGCCACCTCCGGAGGAAACGTGTGCCGAGGCCGCAGGAAGCGCCTGCTCGCGTCCGTCGAGAGAGGGCACTGCTGTTCCAGGAGAGAGCTGCCACCCGTGAGGCCGGAGGGGTCGCTTGACGTTTGTCCACTTGTGGAATGACAGCTCACCCAGATGGAAAGATGACGCTCGTTTATGTCCGCAGGGAAGTGCTACGTTCAAGCAGGCAAGATGTTTACGTTCTTGTGTTATGAACTGTCTCTTACATGAAACGAAACATAATCTCACATCGGAAGGAATCTCCAGATCTTCTTTAGAAAGTCCCTGGGCTGCGTTCGTGATTGGGCGTAAGCACGAACGTTACACGGTTACCCTACGTTACGCTCAATGGAAAACTGACCATTCTCTACAACTTTACCCCTTGGTAACGCCCTGGCTACGCTGGACGAGCCCAATCCTTCTCCCGGTTACGCTTGGTTGAACACTACGTCACAAAAAGGAGCGTCAGTTGCGCCCTGATTGAGCCAGAGACTCGAAACAAATAACGGGTCATAAGAGAAAGCCAACGGTGTCCGGCTTTAACGCTTTAAGTTATGAAAAATTCTACCATGATTTTCAACCACATCAGAAGGTAACGTGACGTCGTCCGGCCCCATCTCGATGATGATGATGATGATGATGATGATGACCATGGGGATTGTTTATTTTCGGTCGTCACGGCTTCAAAGACCATTTCATGGCCCGCCTGTATTCAGTTTATGCGACCACCGCTCTGCTATGGGGGCATCAAAATGAAGGTATCAGAGCCATGTCATTCTTGAAATCATTTTCATATCGGGATGGCTTTAAAACAGCGCTGGCGAAGCCGCTTGAAATGGCAAGCATACGCAAACTATCGATCGAGGACGGGGCCAAGAAACTTCACGCTGTTAAGATATGCCACCAGTCGACCGCAGAGTTCTGAGTGAGGATCGTCGCACGCTCGTCTTCTGTTGCAAAAATGCGTACAACACGTATTTTTGGACGTAACGCAATGCAATTCTACCTACTCCATGCCGCTGGTTTGTTAAGACTATTCTGAGCAATATCGTCCACGGACGATGGACGATCCACGTTGTAGGGTAAAACGTCACTGATGTCAATGGCCACACTAGCAAACAGCGGAACGCTTAGAATGCTGCCTTGCGGGACTTCAGTACTGGATCGGAAACGTTCTGGACACGTGATCCCCAACCGAAAGCGGAAGTGCTCCGACCCCCTAGCTAGGGGATCGGCGCTTTGCTTCGGTTACGCTTGATCAAAGTCTCCTCTCCAACATAATATATGCCATGGGTGTAACCATGTGTCTGAGTTTGTGGTGGGGCAAATCGTTATTAGAGAGGTCAAACTGAAGTGCAATCTGGGGGGGGGGGGGGGCACCCTAACCTGACAATGGCATCCTAAATGGCAGACCGTGAAAAACTGTGCATCCTACGGACAAAATTGAAGGGGCCAGAATCCCCTTTCGTGATAAGTGGAGGACCTGTTTCTCCAGCTCTCCAGTGGTTGCGCCCCTGATTCATGAGCAGAGGTGCAACCGGACTCCTGTCCAGGACCGTGACTGTGGCCGGGTCCAGGACAGTAGAGGGGTTTTGATCTTGTTGGAGGGTGTATTGGGGTCCAATATATTAAATATGCATTCTTAAAGGTGTTGTTAAAGTCCAGGATGATTCGATTTTCTTTCATGGTGCACGGAACCCGGATTCCGTTATTGATACGAGCAAGTGACCATGACGCAGTGCTCGGCATTTGTACGTACTAACTAACTAACCGCTGTCCCCGGTGTGCTGCTGCTGCGCTGTGCCCTCAAGTCGAGACTCGCGGCGGCCCTCCGGGCCTTTGCAACAGCCGGACGTGCCGTGGACGGATGGCTGTGCTAGTTTGGGCTGCGAGGGATGAATGACACGTCACGAATTCGTGGATCACGCCATGTTACTACTGGTCTTTTCGGAATGTCATTCATGCAATTGCGGGCAATCAGCGTGGTTGTCACGGCAACGTGTTTTTCGAAGCTTTGTCATTGTCCTGGCATTGAACGTCACGTAGTGATCCGAAGATACAGCGCGTTGTTCGCCATGATAATCACGCGGGGCATGTCATATTTCTGTTATGCCAGGATGGCACAGCGCATCCTTATTCCCATAGGCTCTGAAATACACCCATGGGTATACGTGCATGCATGCACAAGTGCATTCGTAGATCGCGCAGAGTTCCGTCATGCTGAGTAGTGCTCTTCGACCTCCGGCGCAAGAGTTCGGGGGGTATTTGACCCAGCCGACACTCCACATCAACTCCACTCCACATTGGCTTTGAAGCGGCATTGATCAGAGAGATAGTAGAGCACGTCAAAAACAACGGAAAAGAATAAGGGGAAAAATATAATTCACATGCATGTACAAACAGTATCAGACAGCCCTATTACACAAAGGGATGACTTGGCAGCGCGCTAGCGTAAAACTTGTGGGATCCAGTCGCCTTGAATCCGCCGGTAACTGGTTCAGGAGACAGGCGGTTCGGTATCTGAGGGAGCGCCGTCCTACCACCGCACGCACCACCGAGGGACGCAGGTTTGCTGTCCTGCCACCGCACGCACCGCCGGGGGACACAGGCTTGCTGTCCTGCCACCGCACGCACCGCCGGGGGACGAAGGTTTGCTGTCCTGCCACCGCACGCACCGCCGAGGGACACAGGCTTGCTGTCCTGCCACCGCACGCACCACCGAGGGACACAGGCTTGCTGCCCTGCCACCGCGCGCGCCGCCGAGGGACGCAGGTTTGCTGTCCTGCCACCGCACGCACCGCCGGGGACGCAGGTTTGCTGTCCTGCCACCGCATGCACCACCGAGGGACGCATGTTTGCTGTCCTGCCACCGCGCGCACCGCCGGGGGACGCAGGTTTTGGTCATGCGGGCGGAACGGTCACAGGTCGGCGCGTCGGCGTTTGTTTGAAACAGGCATGGTCCACAGGCTTACCTCGCTCACCGGCTTTATGCACAGCGGTTACCGTTTGCACATCACATATGTGGCGAAGTATCGGTGTTGGTAGCTGATTATTATTTGCCTGGTCTAATTCCTCACCGGTGGTTGAATTTTTATCATTACACTATCTGACTACGGCAACTTCCCGAGCTGAATGAAGTTAGATGCAATGGTGTTAAAACGCCTCCTTTTTTACATACGACCATCGTTTTCAGTGGATGTAGATATCTCTTTCGGTTAACGGGCCCTGGGGCGCTGAGCACTGCTGAGACCAAATCTGGAGCTGACGTGCAGCGGTATCTTTTACGAACCGGATAACGACGTAGGCAGGAGCCATATTTAGTCCTGATAAGCAGAGACGCCATACACCGCCCGGGTACTACGTAAAGAAGTGCCGCGCCGCGAAGACGCATCCAGACAGGAAACCCGGGATGAGCACGGTCTCAGCTCGTGTACACGGAATTGCTCTGCATGCATTGCGCCGCAATGTATTTTAACAGGGAACCGCTGACCGCCTGCACCACTTTGGCTGCGTCGTACGGAGAACATGCTGCCACTTCCACCTCCCTGGCCGGTCCTGTTCCCCTACTCAAGTTTATGGTCGTTTCTTCCTGCCGAGAACCCAGTGGTCGACACTCTGTCGGCACCTAGCACCCTGCCGCGGATCTCTTGCATCGGATGACTCTTTCTGATGCGGCTTGTTCCAAAGCTCTGTTTTCCAGAAGGCACGCGATTGCCATGGTACCGTTCTGATGGCTGTGATATGATCCGCCGCATGCGTAATCTATACGGGAACGCTGTGGGTATGTGATCAGCAATCGCGTGAAGATCCAGCTCGTTGTTATGCACCCGTACTGATGAGTACTGAGGGTTACGCACCCGTACTGAGGAGTTCTGAGGGCTACGCACCCGTACTGAGGAGTACTGAGGGCTACGCACCCGTACGCTCTTTGCGCGGATGTGTGCAAGGGCGTTGTTTGACAGAGTGGATCAGCCTGCATCTGGGTATTTCCGTCCCGTTGAAATGTGTGAACTAAATTTAGCCTTCAGTTCCGCTACCAAATGAACTTCGCTCCGTCAAGGAACCGATGCGTATTACCAAGGCACTGCGTACTCGTCCAGGGGGGTCTGGTAAAAGATCCGAGCAGGACGCGATGGCGCTTTCAGACCGTCGCTGCCAGCATCTCACGCCGCGTCGGCGCGAAGCGGCGCGCCGGATGTTTGCCGCCGTCGCCGCCGCTCGTCACCGGAGGCGGAGTCGCCGCTCTCTGGCGGGTGCTTGACCGGCCTGCGCTGACGCCGGCAGACTGTTCGACGTGGGCGGTCAGCGGTCCGAGCGGAAGAAGTGGATCCATTGCTTCGAAGACGTGACGGCCATCATCTTCTGCGTGGCCATGTCCGAGTACGACCAGGTGCTGCACGAGGACGAGAGCACGGTGAGCAGATCCTGCACAAGGACGAGGTCACGGTGAGCAGGAAGTGCTTCGGGACAATAGCACGGTGAGCAGGTGCTGCACGAGGAAGGGAGCGCGTTGAGTGGATGCGGCCCGGCCAACCGCAGTCATTGTGCTGCCGTTCCGCTGCATTAGAACGGACCAAGGACTAGGTGATTGCTGTTTTGCTGTGGCTGTGATGGCATGAGCGAGGCCATGGGCGGGTTTTGATTTCTTCCGCAAGCATTAGCTTAAAATTTGAATTGCCGGGGACCTTCCCCTTAGCAGCAACTTTGTGTAAGTCAGAAAGTGGAAATCACAGGTCGTGGGAAGTTTGCCCATGCTTATAGAAATAGCATGTAGGATACCACAAATCATGCGATTAACGTTTGGTTCGCGTTGCAGAATCGAATGCAAGAGAGCCTGAAGCTGTTCGACTCCATTTGCAACAACAAGTGGTTCACCGATACGTCTATCATTCTTTTCCTCAACAAAAAGGACTTGTTCGAGGAAAAGATCAAGAAATCGCCGCTCGCCATTTGCTTTCCCGAATACCCCGGTGAGTGCGTTCTCACCCCGACCTCCTTCCCGAATTCCCTGACGTCCGGCTCGGGGTATCCCGCCGGTGTGTACATTCCCTGACGCGCGGCTGGGGTATTCCGCCGGTGTGTACCTTTCCTGACGCGCGGCTCGGGGCATCCCGCCAGTGTGTGCCACCCCTGACGCCCGGCTCGGGGTATCCCACCGGTGTGTACCTTCCCTGACGTCCGGCTCGGGGTATCCCGCCAGTGTGTACCTTCCTTGACGTCTGGCTCGGGATATCCCGCCAGTGTGTGCCTTCCCTGACATCCGGCTCGGGGTATCCCGAAGCTGTGTACCTTTCCTGACGTCCGGCTCGGAGTATCCCGAAGCTGTGTACCTTTCCTGACGTCCGGCTCGGGGTATCCCGAAGCTGTGTACCTTCCCTGACGTCCCGCTCGGGATATCCCGCCAGTGTGTACCTCCCCTGACGTCCCGCTCGGGGTATCCCGCTGAGTGTCGTCCAGGGCACTGCCCACCTGAGACTCCTCCGGGCGGAACTGCCTCGTTAGTTCTGCGGCGCATGGCTTTTCAGAATACCACGAGAGCAGCTTCCAGAAATGAGACGTCTCGGTGTCGTTTCTCGGAACGGCATGTTCAGAGCGGCTCCATGCGCAGGGGTTGAAGCTGCGGCAGGCCTTCGTGGCCGAACTTGGTGTCGTTTGAGCGTGTGGTCGGCGTGCGCATGCGTAATGGGGCTGACGAGATGAGGTGGAGGACCGACGTGTTAAAGCTCGATACCGAGCGTGACGGGGCCAAAGGGTTTCCGTCACGCGGTAGGGGACCAGGCGTGAGGGGGTGCGAGGGAGTGTGTGGCGTGATACGAAGGCTGGCATGACTGTGCATGAGACATGCCCACGTCATGCCTCGGGCGTACGGTACGATTAGACGGGCAAGGCACGAAGAGAGAGAGAGAGAGAGAGAGAGAGAGAGAGAGAGAGAGAGAGAGAGAGAGAGAGAGATGTATATATATATATATATATATGTATATATACACACACATATATATATATATATATATATATATATATATATATATATATATATATATATATATATAGAGAGTTAGAGAGAGAGAGAGAGAGAGAGAGAGAGAGAGAGAGAGAGAGAGAGAGAGAGAGAGAGAGAGAGAGAGAGAGAGAGAGAGAGAGAGAGAGATATATATATATATATATATATATATATATATATATATATATATATATATATATATATATATATATATATATATTGGCATCGTTATCCGACGAGGAGCTCAGACGTACGGCCGCTGTTCCCTCAGGTGCGCAGGAGTACGGCGAGGCGGCCGCCTACATCCAGGCGCAGTTCGAAGCCAAGAACAAGTCGACCAACAAGGAGATCTACTGCCATATGACCTGCGCAACGGACACGACCAACATCCAGTTCGTCTTCGACGCCGTCACGGACGTCATCATTGCCAACAACCTGCGCGGCTGCGGTCTCTACTGAGGCCGCTGCGTTAAAGCCGCCAGCGAGCGCGCCATCTGCTGGACTCTCGAGCAATAGCGCCCTGCGCGGCTTGCCGCCAGGGGCGCTAGTGTTTGCGGGCGTAGCTCTTCGGACTCAAGCTTGGTTGGCGGTGGACGTGTTGGCGTGCCGGTACTAGTCATGCCAATGTGCTTACATGCTGATTTATTTATGTCTTGATGACTGTGTGTGTAGGTGTGTGTGTGTGTGTGACTGACTGGCTCAAGCGAAACTTGCGGGCCGTGCTTGCTGAAACGTAACCACTCGGAAGTACTGTGGAGTTTGTCAAAAAATTGTCCTGCCTGGTCATCGCCAGGCGGCAGCACGATGGCAACCAAGTCCGCGCCGCAACGACAGTCGAACAAACCTTGATCTCTTTATCACGGATAGAGATTACTGTTACCTTCGACCCATTTGAATTGGCACGCAGCCACCGGCTCAACCGACTTGTTTGTTATTCACCGCGTTAGTTCGAAGGGCTCCCTTCCGTCTGGCACTGCACAAATGCGGCTGGGCCGGCGGTGCTCCGTTCGGACGCCGCGGTGCTGCCGGCGTCCGGTGGTGGTACCTCACTCCCCGTCTGGTGGCGCCACTGGCACCATGGCGTTCGGATCGCGCGCCGACGCGCCGATTTCGTGTGAATAATCCCCTTTCGGGCAGAAATCGATTCACTGACAACACACGCCAGCCTCGGGCGAGTTATCCGCTGCTGATACCTACAGCTATCTGAAGAAGCGCACGCCAAATAGACTAGTTCTGCGTTCTGGTTGGCTGTTGTCGAACCATCTGCAGTTTGCAAACACTGTCGCCTTCCTAAATTCACGTGAATACTGCACTGACGTGTCAAGAGAGCCGATCAAAAGAGCTAGTCCGGAATGAATGGCAAGAAATTTAGATTGCCTCTTCCCTTGAACATTGATTTGTGCCTGTTGACGCGGGATTAGGTAAGTAATCCCGCCAGTGATGAAAGCGCAGTTGTGGTCGGAGAAACTCTGTGTGGCTGTTTGTGTGTATTATAGTATATGAATAGATTGTTACATGCAATCGTTAAGAACAAATTACCATCAGTACCTACCTGTGCTTGCTGTTATCGCGTCATGGCTGGTGCACCTTTCAAAACGTGATCATTATTTATCGGTTTTGTACGCTTGGTTTTGCTGACTCTAAGCTGCGGGGATAACAGGGCACAAAAAAACAAGCAAAAAACTGCCCATGACATTCTTCACACAAGCAAAGTGCAGAAACATTGTCAGCGATAGATCATCATTGTCCTCTGTGACCTTGTGCTACCGAGCGGCTTCAATTGTCTGGCAGAAGCGCGCACTCGGCACGTTCACGCGCACGCGGTGTGATGCGCCTACACCTGCACATGGTGCCAACCAGCACGTCACGGGGTGACGCTGGACTCGCAGAACTTTTGCAGCTGCCAGGTGGCTGCGAGGTATGCTCGCCTATTTGTTCGATCTATTTCGAGCGCGTGCGCCGTGCTTTCTCCAGCTGTTCTTGGTTTTCATATGGTGTATAAACGATACATGTTTGTCAGACGACACCATTGTTTTCCTGTTTCATGCCTTTTCACTTCAGCTTCCAAGTAGCTGATAGCTTACCATCCTTGTGGGTTGTGTTCAGTGGCGTAATAATTCCGCGCTTATATCGATATGCACCCCAGATAAGCAGCGTGCATGAGCTGTACTGGGTTTCAGCTCCACCTCAGCGCAGAGGAGCAGGCACACAAGAAAGGAGCACGTGATGCCCGTCTCCTCAAGAAAGTATTTGCTCGGGACACCGCCAGAGAAATCATGAAATAAGAGTGCCAGAAAAGCACGTCATTTCACATAGCTCACACCACACCAGAACGTGCTGACGGGAGGCACCGAGACAGGACAAGACACGTGCCATACGAGGTCTTCAGGTGATGCTCCCTGCACGGCTCCTGTCGGGTGTCCTCGAGTGGGGTCCCCTTCACACGACCGCCCCGTGGGGGTCCTCGCTCGCGTGTCCCGGTCCGCTACACGTTCTCATCCTCAGTTCATGAGGCAGGCACGGGTCCAGGATTTCCCAAAGGGCAAGGCAATGCCTTGAGAGAGGGCCTTCGTCGGCGCCTTGATCCCTAGACACCATAAGCCCCATTGCGTATTTTTGGCGCAAAAACACCGACATCCAGCTTAGCATCCCCCCTAGGGCGCGCGGCTACGGCGGTGCAGCTGGCACCAGGCGGCGGTCGGCGGGCAGCAAAAACGGCCCCGCATCGAAAGTAATAACCCGCAGCGAGTGCGGTATTGTGCCATCAAATAACTTCAAAGGGCATACCAAGCCACCATCGAAATCGCGAACGACTATCCTAATGGACGTGGTAGCTTACCCCGCTCGTGCAAGCCAGCAATCATTACCTCGGGATGATTGTAACCCGGACCTCCCCCCCCCCCCCCCACCCCAATTAGCTCCGCTCCCTGCCTGATCCGTAGTGATTCCCACCCGAACGTTGCTGACTTCGAACACACAAGACAATGCAAGTGCAACACTTCCCCTTTTAATAACACGGCCTTCACCTTAACATTCTTCATAATTACACGGCCCTGGAAGGGCCCTGGTTGAAGTCTGAATGGGTGTCACTCGGACTTATACAAAATATGTCGCGGTACTGGCTCGTGCTTTGTTGTTGTTTATTTGTGTTTTCGGACGCGCCGACTGCAGTGGTCATTTGGCGCTCATAACGAGTTTTGTTTTACCGAACTAACAACCGTGAAAATAGTGCCGAGGTCAGTGTGCTTAAGGAAAAAAAGACCTTTTTAGATTCAAGAAAGCGCGATTTGTCTCCTAAAATGTCACAGAGCGTCAGGGGCATGTTACGCTGTCCAAAGTGACGTCGACGTTCTTCCACGAGGCGCGGGCACGATATGAGCACATGACGAACGGTGAGAACAGCACCACATCGATAGCAGGTAGGTCCTTCGGCTCCTTGCAACAGATAACATTGAGTTGCACACGTGTCCCCAATACGTGGTCTGCAGAGCACCACCTCTTCTTGCCTGGCCTTGCGAGAACATGATAACCACTGACCCAGCTCGGGTTTTACTGCTCTGAGCTTATTTTCATTTGTCCCATCCCATCAACGCTGCCACTCGTTCTGCAGGAAGGTTTTTATCGCAGGGTAAAAATCTCTAGCAGGGATAGAATGAGAGCGTTCACATGAAGCCAGCGCTGCTCGTCTTGCAGCCGCGTCAGCCACCTCGTTGCCGGCGATTCCAATGTGGCTGGGGATCCAACACAGCATGACTTTCTTTCGGGCTTGATCCAGTTGAGTCAGACGTCCTAAAATATTCTGTATAAGAGGGAAATGATGGATAAAAAGACCTCAGACCACGAACACTGCTCAGAGAGTCTGTCAAAATCAGATATGAAGATTCGTCACTAACTTCAATGAAACACAGCGCCTGGTGATCGCTACCTACTTCGATGTGAACACCAACGCGTATGGAGGCAAAGAAAACGACCGGATCACGCCGTCGCTCACAGACGCGCAGCCCACACCGCCAGACGTCTCAGATCCGTCCGTGTAACTAAGTGTGTAACAGTCATATAAAGTCATACGCTCAGGTGCCCTCCACCTCATTATATCTGACAAGACGGAATTCTTCTTCATTTCGGTCGAAGACGCATCTACTGATAGCAAGGTCATACGCCAGGGGGGAGTGGACAGATGATCTAACCGCTTCAACCTTCGAATGGGAATTTCGCTTTCACACAGCAAGGCTTGAATTCGGAGGCCAAAGGTTACAGCATCTACCCGAGGTGCACCGCGACGACAACGCACAGCAGTCCGTGAAAACACTGCGTTATTTGCCGGATGGGAGGGGAACTGTCGCATCTTAAGTGCATAACGCATAAAGAGCACTTTCCTTCTCGATGACAACGGCGGCTGGTATGATTCCACCATGAGGCTCGCGGCGGATGATGCGCGGGACGCCCCTGTGATTACACGTGAAGCGGGATGATGGACAGTCTCAATGACATGTTTGGTGGACTCACGCGCGCTGTGATAAATAAAACATGCGTAGTCCAGCTTAGAACGCACGATTGAGCGATGCAATAACAAAAGCGTGCTTCTATCTCCCCCATACTAGGTGCGCCAAATCAATTTTAGTATGTTCAAAGATCTAAAGCAACTTCCGCATGGCGTTTTGAGATGGACTTTATGCGTTAGTCGGTGGTCAAGGTATACCCCCAGGTATCTAGCCACGGGCCCCGTTGAGATGCGTTGGCCACACAGACGGATAGACATATTGCCGCATTGCCGACTACGACAAAAATGCATAGCTACAGTTTTGTTGCTAGAAAACCTGAACCCGTTTATGGCGCCCCACTTCTCGATACGATCCACAGCCAACTGAAAATGCCGCTCCATCGACTAAGCTCTTGCTGCGCTAGTCCAAATGGTAAAATCATCAACAAATGGGGCCCGACCTACAGACTGTGGCAGGCCATCCCCGATGTCGTTTATCATAACGGCGAACAGTGATACGGTCAGGACACCACCTTGGGGCAAACGATTAACTTGATAGTGCCTCTCAGAGAGCACGTTCCCAACACGGACACGGAAATAACAGTCAACTAAAAAGCTTTCGAGAAAAGTGCTCATATCGCCTCGCATACCATACCTATATAGCTTGACACGAATACCATGACGCCATGTGGTATCATAGGCGCCCTTTATGTCAAAGAAGGCAGTGCCAGTGTGTCCATTTGCTTTAAATCCATCCCGACTCGCAGTATCAAGAACTAAAAGATCATCTACTATGCTGCGGTTCTTTCTAAAACCACACTGCACTGGTAAAAATGTTGTGATGCTCCAAAAACCAGGTTAAACGGACGTTAGCCATCTTCTCCATCAACTTACAGGGCAATGACGTAAGAGAAATGGGTCTATAATGCAAAGGATCTAGCCCACCTCTTCCCGGCCTCAAGAGAGACACGACAGTAGCTTCCCGCCAAGAGGATGAGAATTCACCCCAGGTTCAAAGCAAATTGAAGACCACTAATAAAACGCGAGGCACGAGAGGCGGCAGATGCTTAATCGTATCGATTATGATGATGATTTGGGCTTTGGGGCGCACCGACTACGTTGGTCATATGACGCCCATAACCTACTTTTATCTAACAATTGCCTGAGAAAGCGGGGAGATAAAGTTATGTTCGATATATGGCGTGGATTTGTGTCTTCAAGATAGCTAAAAATGTGACAATCATTTACTGAGCTCGAGTCGTCTCCCAGCACGCCACAGAGCGTTTGACGCACGGACCCTGATCCAAAATGATGTATGCGTTCCGAGGCAAAGTGGGCACAATCTATCAAGACATGTCGTACGGTGTAACTA